AGATCACAGGGCACGTGGGCCTGGATGCCACAAACCCAGGACCTTCTGCACGTGGGTCTAGTTGCATTTAAGATTTGAACACTCGGGAGCAGCAGACGGTGTAGTGGTTACATCACTGGACTCCCCCATGGTTAACCGCAGTTCAAGTCCCGGAACCAAAGGCTTAAAACACACACTGAGGCGTAATGGCTATGTCGCTGGACTCCCATGTAATCAACCGCGGTTCGAGTCCTGGACCCGGTGGCTTAAATTCACACTGGGTGCCTGTGCGGTGCGTGCCCAAGATCCCGAGAGGAGAATGGAGGAGAAGGGATTGCGGCGTGGCCATCCTCCCTGGGGGGGTGATTTCTCGCTTTCTGTCTCTCTGTCTTTCTGGCAAGCACATGCGCCCTATAGGTAAAACCTCCCCCACAAAAAAAAAAAATCTCTCTCTAAAGAGGAAAGGTTTGAGCACTCGTTAGCTGGGCAGAGTGGCACGTGCCTTAAACACAACTACTCAGGGGGCAGGGCTAGAGGATCACGAGTTTGAAGCCAGCTTGAGCAACATCATAAGACTCATTTTTTTTTTTTTTTTTTAGCTTAACTTTATTTATTTATTTTAAATTTGATCGGAGAGGGACAGACAGCGAGAGAGGAAGCAAGCTGCCAGGTCTGAGACTCGAACCGTGGTTGGCCTTGTGCGAGTCCAGCACCCTTCACCACCACCTGCCAGCTCTAAGACTCTTTTTCTCACACCCCGCCCCGCCCCCAGTTTTGTTATAGCGCGTGTCTGTCTGGCTGCAGAGACACAGACAGAGAGGGAAAGTGAGAAATCACCCTCTTAGGCACACGCACACATTTGCTCACTGTGTGTGTCATTCAACATACCCAGTGGCTGGCAGCTCACGCTGACCGTGTGTGTGTGTGTGTGTGTGTGTGTGTGTGTGTGCGCGCGTGCGCACGTGCCCAAAATCCTAGAAAGAAAATAGAGAAGGGATTGTGGCGTGGCCATTTCCCCTGGGGGGTGATTTCTCACTTTCCCTCTCTTCTCTCTCCGGTGAGAGGACACATCCTATAGCAAAATTCACTCTAAGGGGGACCAGCAGGTGGCGTGGTGGTTAAGGCGCTGGACACTCCCACATGGCCGGCCACGGTTCAAGTCCTGGACCTGGTGGCTTGCTTTCTCACTTCCCCTCACTCTCTCTCTGCCTCTCTCTGGTCAAATTAAAATAAATGGATGGTTAAATAAAATTAGATAAATAATTCTTTAAAAAAAGAATTCACTCTAAGTGGTTAAGACGCTAGACTCCCACGTGGCTGACCGTGGTTCAAGTCCCAGACCTGGTGGCTTGCTTTCTAAGTCCTCTGTCTCGCTCTGTCTCTCTCTGGTCAAATTGAATAAGAATAATAAATAAATTAAATTAGGGTCCGGCAGGTGGCGTGGTGGTTAAGGGCGCTGGACTCCCACATGGCCTACTGTGGTTCAAATCCTGGACCTGTTGGTTTGCTTTCTCGCTTTCCCTCACTCTCTTTCTGTCCCTCTCAGGTCAAATTGAAATAAATAAATAAAGTATACGGGACAGCAAGTGGCGGAGTGGTTAAGGCGCTGGACTCCCACATGGCCGACTATGATTTGAACCCTGGACCTGGTGGATTGCTTTCTGACTTTTCCTTTCTCTCTCTCTCTCTGGTCAAGCTAAGAAAGAAAGAAAGAAAGAAAGAAAGAAATTTAATTAAAATAATAATATAAATAAATAAAGTTAAAAAAATTTGTTAAGAATAAATAAATAAAATTAAATAAATAATTCTTTTTTAAAAAAAAGGAATCAGGCATGGTCAGCAGGTGGCGTGGTGGTTAAGGGCTCTGGACTCCTACATGGTGAACTGCAGTTCGACTCCCGGACCTGGTGGCTTGCTTTCTCACTTCTCTCTCACTCTGTCCCTCTCAGGTCAAATAAATAAATAAATAAAGTTTAAATGAAATAATTCTTTAAAAGAAAAACAAAAAATCAGGTGGGGCCCGTGTGCTTGCGGACCCACAATCCCGAGAGGAGAATGGAGGAGAAGGGATTGTAGCACGGCCACCCCGCTGGAGGAGGATTTCTCACTTTCCCTCTCTTGTCTCTCTCTCTGGTGAGCACACACTCTCGCTACCAAAACTGAAAACTAGAAATTAAAAAAAATGAAACGAATGTCGGACCTTTCTATGGCATTGATCCAGTGAAGGCCACGCCTCAAGGCCGAGAGGAACTCATTCTGTCCTCAGAGTCACCCTGTAGGTGGGGGTCATCATTCTTGTTACCCCCCTCTTTTTATTTATTTTTTCTTTTTTTCTTTTTTCTTTTTTTGGAGAGATTTTTGCTATAGGGCGCGTGTGCTCGCCAGACAGACAGAGAGACAGAAAGCGAGAAATCACCCCCCAGGGGGGATGGTCACGCCGCAATCCCTTCTCCTCCATTCTCCTCTCGGGATCTTGGGCACGCACGCACACGCGCCCGGCGTGAGTTTTAAGCCACCGGGTCCGGGACACGAACCACGGTCGACTACATGGGAGTCCAGCGACATAGCCATTACGCTAACTGCTGGTTCCCACCCCCTCTTTTCAGGTGGTTGAAAACCAAGGCCCAGAGAGGTGAGGTCGTTGACTGTGGTGTGGCCATTTCCCCTGGGGGGTGATTTCTCACTAGCCAGGACCCCAATGTCAGCTCACTCCATCACCCCAGCCATCAGCCACTTCTAGGCTACCTGCATGAGTGAGAATGATCATTTTGTCTCTCGCTTTTTTTAAAGAATTGTTTTTATTTTTAATTTTATTTATTCATTCATTTATTTTTTTAAAGAATTATTTTATTTAACTTTATTTATTTATTTTAATTTGACAGAGAGGGACAGAGTGAGAGAGAGAGGGGAAAGTGAGAAAGCAAGCTGCCAGGTCTGGGGCTTGAACCGTGGTGAGCCGTGTGGGAGTCCAGCACCATGCCACCTGCCAGCCCCCTCGTTCATTTATTTTTAATTTGATCAGAGAAAGATGCGGGGGGTGGGGGGGGAGTGAGAAAGCAAGCCACCAGGTCCGGGGCTTTGAACCATGGTCAGCCATGTGGGAGTGTCCAGTGCCTTAACCACCACGCCACCTGCTGGTCCCAATTTTCTTTTTCTTTTTCTTTTTCTTAAGAGATTTTTTTCTATAGGGCACATGCACTTGCTGGACAGAGACACAGAGAGACAGAAAGTGAGAAGTCACCCCTCAGGGGGGATGGCCACGCTGCAATCCCTTCTCCTCTCAGGATCTTGGACACACGCACATGCACCCAGTGTGAGTTTGAAGCCCCTGGTTGGGGACTCGAACAGTGGTCTCCATGGGAGTCCAGTGACATAACCGTTACGCCATCTGCTGGTCCCTGGTGGGTTTCAAGCCTCAGTTTGCTGGGCTGTTAAATGGGGAGAATAGACAAAAGGTCAGTGAGTGGAATGAGACCGTGTAGACAGAGCTGCCAGCCCGGGGTCCTCCAGGGAGGGCTTCAGCGTGGACGGGAAGGTGGTGTTCTCCCCGGGGGTGTGGTGGGGCTGTGCAGGCCCTGGAACCGGCCCTGGAGGGAGGGCTCGGCAAAGACAGGAACGGAGCCAGCCAGGGGCCAAGGCAACAGCTGAGCCCCCCAAGGGCGCCTGCTACCCGAGCCCCGGAGGCCTCCACCCGGCCGGGCCTCCCCAGAGAAGGGGCCGGGGGAGCCGCCAAATCCTGAGGCTATAAATACCTCCACTGGCTGGCGGACAGCCCTGGCCCTGGAATGTCAGAACTGGGGAGGGTGGGGGTGGGCTGGCCTGGCCACCACTCTGTCCCCCGGGAGCGACCGCCACTGAGCCTCCCTGTGGCCTGTTTTGGATGGAGCAGAGGCCGGATCCCACCTCCCCCTAGGACCCGGAGCGCAAGCCCCAGCTCAGACCTGGAGGGGCCCAGCTACCTTCAGGCTCAGGGGACGCCCCCAAAGGTCCCAGGGAAAGATCCAGCTGGTGGGTGGAGGCAACTGCACCCCACTTTCCTTAAAGAGCCATCCTCAGGGCCAGCAGGGGATGTGGTGGTTGAGGCACTGGGGTTCGAGTCCCGGGCCTGGCGGCTTGCTTTCTCACTTTCCCTT